TGCCGAAGCTGCCAGTTGCTCTCTCGGATGCAGTTCTCATTCTGTCTTCCTCGTCCGTTCACTGGTAGGATGGAAGAGAATACCACCTGTGCACCGAACTCCCTCAGCACGCCGCCCAGAGCACTGTAGTCCGCCATCATGTGGTAATTGATTAAAATGAACCAATTTCGGTTTGGCACATTCCAGCTTTCTGTCCACTGCTTGTGTTTCAACCCTGGTCCTGCTCCAAATAGCTTACCACCATCTTTTTATACCTTTTCCAGCATCTTCTCTACTGAAGCATGATTTTGTAACTTCAGCACTTAAACTATTTGACATGGTGGCAAAACCTGACTTTTGAGTATCTTGCACAAAGTCATTCTAGACATTTTCTACTTGGTATGATGATTCAACATAAAAGATATGTTCTAGATCAGCCAGATGAAAGGAGCTGGGATTTCCTTGGTGGTGATTTATGGCCTGCGGTTTACAGGGTGTCAGATGAGATGATCAAAATGGCCTTAAAACCTAGACAGGCACTTTCTACATGACAGCTTATCTGACATCCCTCCCAACTGTGCAGTTGGCCCAACAGGGACCCTGCTGCACATGCAAATTAAAGCTGGCTAGAAACCAGCTGTGGAGCTGTTGCACATTTTCAAGCATTAACTTAATAGCTGGTTGGCTTTTTTTTATAGTGCACTAGACTCTCTCTCTTGTTCCTTTTTAATAGTGCCATAATTACTTTGCACATGTGGCCAGTCTACATTTATTGCACGATTCACCCGTTAAATGTGCAGTTGGTGCTTTGCATGTGTGACCCTGTCTACCTTTATTGTGCAATTCATCCATCTGGCGTGTAATAGTGTAACGTGTGGCAGAGAAATCATCCCCCAAAATTCTACGGGGACAGTGGTGACCAACGGCAAGGCTCCAACCCTGCTAGGCGAAACCTGAGCGAGGAAGGAAAAAAGGGAGCAGGGCGGTGTAGCGCCTAAGGTGCGGTCAGAGCGTGGTAACAGCGTTGCCAGGTCTTAAATATGAAATGACTGTATTGGAAGCTCAAAATGATCATACAGTATTTGCTGAAAAACTATCGTACAGTGAAAAAGTAGGCGTCCTCAGGACTGACCCGCAGGCGGGGTGGAGAGGCCGGGCTAGGCCGGGGGCTGCGCCTGGGGCA